TAACACTGGACAACAATAATTGATCCCCTCCTTCGTTTTGAAAGATGCTTTGACGATCCTGGGTCCATCAGATTCTCATCCTATAAGTGCATCGCGTGCTTCTTTGGACAGCATCAGAGTAACTGCCTGAGTGTGTGAAGCATTTTCTTCCTCGTGACTACAGTAAAGCAGCATTTCTCCCGAATCTAACCTTTGCTATCCAGCTTGGGTTCAATGAGTTTCGCTAATTCCAAGGACCGACAAGTTGTATCTCCTCATTTCCATTGCCATTTGACTGGTCCTCCCGATCTCCTACATTGTCCGGACGTTCCATGTACCAATAAAAATTGTTGCTCCAATTTGTTAGCAGATTGACTTAATTCTCGCTCACGACCTTAGTGAATCTTCAGTAAGTCTAATATGGTTATTTTTAACAATACAATACATTTAATAACGTTCATCCATTAATTAATTTTACATCAGAAGATGAACAGAACGACAGCATATCATTTCTAGATGTCCAACTAAAAAGAAGAGCAGACGGAACTTTAAAAAGAGGGGTACACAGAAAGTCTGCAGCAGTACAAAAAAACTCATTTCTATAGTGCAGTTCCAATCAGATACAAAAGGAACTTGATAAAGATCTTGACACATCGGCCTAGAATGATTTGCTCTGAAGACACCATCGAAGAAGAGTTGAATAACATTCCGAACCTACTTAGCATGAATGGGTATCCCATGAAATTCATCGACGAACATATGATGGAGAAGAAAACAAGGACAAAGATATCCACCGTCCATAAGAAGGTACTATTCATAAAACTACAATTCATAAATGACACCATCGAAAAAATCTTGACTCAGAAGCTAAGAAGAGCCGTACAAAAAGCATTTAATACTGCCAGATTAAATGCAATCTTCTACAACTATCCCAAGGTAAGAACAGCCAACAAAGACAGACTGCCTGAATCCGCCAAATCTATGTGTATCTATCGTTTCAACTGCTCCGGTGGAGCCAGTTATATAGGGCGTACAATTCGGCAAGTCCGTCATCGCATTACTGAACATCATCCGTCGTGGTTAAACAAAGGACAGGTAAAAGTGATTAAAATTTCTATTCTCTCTCACTTGGTTGACACAGGTCATCAAGTCGAATTGAATGAATCTTTTAAGGTTATCTACAATATCCCATCTAATTTTCCACATGGTTTACGAGTGCGCCTCTTGCACATTGCGGAAGCCATCGCAATCCATGTTCACAAACCTGACCTTTGCATTCAAAAGGGATTCGTACAACCACTTTCTCTGCCCTGGCCATCAGTTTAAGATTTCCTTCAAAAGAACTATTTTTCATACTTCTTCCACTTGTTTTTTTAAACTTTTGTAATTTTATTTCTGTTGATTTTGAACTTAATAACTTCTCAACATTCATCTCTTGATTCTTACGTAACTACCATCCTATTGGCCATCCGTTAAAATTCTGTTTCTTCTTTGTTTCTTACATTACGCAACGTAGCAACTTCCTGATCACTTTGAATATTAATAATCCTCTTTCTTCCAATTAATCAATGTTAATTTAAATGTAATTATTAAGTAACGTATCTACTCGATGAGTATTATATTATTATTGTAAAACATATATATATATATATTAGTGTAGAGCCATGATGAAAAACTAATTGAAAAGAAATTTCTTCATTCAATTCGTTCCCTCTTAATATTTAACGATAAACAGTTATATCCATTATAAGTATCATCGTTTTGTACTGAAGTGACTTATTATTATTTAACGTATTTGAGAAGAGTTATGTGAGTAACAATTGACGTTGATAATCTTTTCCATCCACTTTCTGAACGTATACAGGAACAGTATATAACACCACTGGAAGTGCTACATTAAGTAGTCACAAAGTCTTAATAAGTAAAACTATGCGTGATTCTTTTGAGCGTAGTGAAAAAACCATGTCATAGTTAATACTGATTGATGATGTGCCTGTTATGGGATTTACGAATAAGTTTCTGTAAACAGAATCCTCAATCACTGACCAGATTATGGATGAAGTTACAATGCATATTGTCGAGTGATATCTAAATTGTGCTTACCAAATTTTTTGTTAATATCAAATGTCTATGCAAAATAATAGAAGGGTTAGAAACAGAAGAGTGCTGTTTACATGAAATGAGAAACTTATAGGTTATTCGTCACCTGCTAGCGAATTCATAAATAAAGTGAAATCAGAGTTTTAAGGCAATATGTGCTGTGAAACCATTAACATTTCATTTACATCATAAACTTGGTATAAACACATGTCATAAGACTGTGAAGCGTTCACAGTTATATGATAGGCATTTGAAGCTCCTAGTCCTTGATATGACACAACCCTAGAATCAACTAACAACTATTAATGAGTTGATTTTTCAATACCTATTCCATTACAGACTGACTAGTCCAAAGTAATTCATGCAAAATACGTGACGAAAAATGAACTAGCAATCGATGCCTGTATGTTGTGATGATGGTAACTACAGCAAATTGTAAATAACGCTTACTTATGATGTGTCTGCTCTACAGATTACCGATTAATTTCTATTAACAGGATCCGAAATCTCTGATGAATAGCACTGTTTGCAAATAAGAGACTTATAGGTAAATTCTGTTACCTTCTATTTGATTAACTTATTGAATGCGATACTGCTGACTAAGTTTGAACGTTTTTTTTCAGAAATGTATGAAGCTATTAAGGTTCTCAAAGCTTTGTGATAATGTTTACGCCGGTGTACAACTTAGGGAATTTGTGATGATGAAAGATCATTTGGAAAACCAGTTTACAAGTTTACGATAACTGTGTTATATATTGCCTATTTACATTTTCATTTACCTTATGAAATATTTAAATTTAAATTTAACAACTATACTCAGTGTTTCACATTATAAATCATGTAGGTACATACATTTGTGCAGACTATCACTTTTGCGTAAATATCTTTTTATCTGTCGATTAAGTGACTCAACACGATTATTCGTGTTGTTACTCAAAGTTGAAACATTGCCGTAAAAGGCACGCGCCTACATTGCTTTACGTGACGTCCAAAAACGAGATAGGTAATGGTCTATGATTCTGTCTCTCCGGTTTATTATTCTGAAATATTGAATAAATCTAGTGAATAAAATCATTCAAAAAATACCTTCCAACCGTTTCTTCAGTTACCAATCGAGTCAGGTACGTTCTCAGTATCTTGTCATGTGTCTAGGGGGAATTTTACGTAAGCAACCAGTGGTGTACCTTTTTACGGAAAGCGCAAATTACGTGAAAAGCGCACAGAATAATGTTTGCACGCCCGTATGTGGTATGGACAGCCGCGCTTTCTGATCGCGCGCAGTCCATAACAAAATTTTCTGTCCCTGTTGTGTTTCCCATTGTAGCGGTAAATAAATCCCCAAAATAAATAGCTCTGTAAGTTTTCGACATTGAATGCTGACCACATGTTTTAGTGGACCCACCTAGCTGAAGGCGCTCAGTCATGCATCCTCACCAGGTCACGTGTAGTAATGCCGTGCTCAACATCTACTGCAATCACTAGCCAGACTAGATCAGAAAATTCCGATATATTGGCAATCGTCAAATACGACTTCTGATCTCCTCGATTCTGTCCTTTGATTTCTCTTGGTGGGTACGAGTTATATTAGGTGTTACTGGTAAAAGCGTTATCAAACACTGAATACCTGTGCCATCTTCACCACGATTTCTTCGCATTTACCAAGAATCCAGGTAACATCTACACGCATTTCTTTTCGCGTTCGCGCAAACATTAGAGTACGTCCTCGACCAAAATTATCTGTTACAACCAACTGGAATAATGAATATCTACAAAGTGGAATACAAGGAAAAACATAACCACTTCTTATTACTAGTATCATACAGAGAATCAATACACAGAACTTCCGGATATTTATTATACAACCGTATCTGGCCATAACTGCTGAAGCATATTCTCGTGATATATCCATTTTCTACATGCTCCCTAACTTCACCGTTATGTCGCAGCATGTGCATTACCTGCTTTGGAGTGCAACCTGAAATATATTTCTATACACTTACCAGTGGAAAATTCACCTTTCATCGCTTGACATCGGCAGCGGTAACCTGCTTACCAGTTCTTTCCTTAATACTTTCTATAACTTCATCTGCTGACTGACAGTGCAATATTACTGGCTTCAAAATTTCTTTTTCTTCGGATGACAATCTTCTTGTCCATGGATCACAAACCATTCATGAACTACTACATGGATGATTGTGAAGCATGTTGAGAATTTGATGACATATACTTGCTCCTCTAGTCTTACACGGAACTTGGATTGGCAATTACGGAATTTAGACCTTCAACATCAGATATTAGTTAAAGATCTCACGATTTTGCTTCAATTTCAAACCTTCCGATTTCCGCTGATGACCAAATATACAGTGAAACTTTACAAACAGGTATTTGAACCTAACATTCTTCAGCAACTTGCTTTCTGTGTAGATGTATCTAGTATAAGTAGTCTGAGAAGCAATAAAATTACCCTTCCGTAATTTTTGGAACTCTTTTAGTGCGCTATCAAAGTCATCTCAGCACGCGAAACGCTTGTTCACAATCATACTTTGAAAGGCATCGCTAAGGTCGACTGAAATGTCTTTAGAGCATGAAGCACTACAAACAGAGATCATTAACTATAAAAATGTTATTCCTTGCAACAGTAATAACCCAAGGAAATACTAGAAATACTTAGGTTTCACCGGTGACTTATTATTTCGTTGAGGTTTACTACAGCAGATGGGATCACAGATCAAATTACGAAGCAACAACAGAGCCAACGTGTACACTACAAAACAGGGAATATTAAATAAATGCCTTTGGTAGTTATTTCGTGCTTTTTAATGTAGCATAAGATTATTTATATATGAAAAAACTTGATACGCATGCATACAACCAACCCACGGCAATTGAAATACGGAATGACCGCCTCTGGTCAGGCCGTTCAAGGTCGTTAAAACAAAAGGGCGGGAAGATTCGAACGGCCCTAACGTGCCATCGTACCTGGTTGGTCACATTATTATAGTAACTAGATTACTCCATTATTACTAATTGTACGCATAAAATAAACCGATAATCTTTATAGTCAAATAAAGTGGTAAATGGTTTATCAAACAGGAATACATGCGACAATTGTGGTATGTAAAACAGCCTAACCCGACCCGAGCTGCCAGCTTTGGGGAAATTTTGGGGAAATCCCCAAATTGAAACAGCCTTCTTCAAAGTTTGGGCAAATTTTGGTTTTTTCTCATTTCCCCGAAATTTCCCCAAAATGGACTAAATTTTCCCCAAAGTTAGGAGCCTGGGGAGCTTCCAATTTTGGGGAACTTTTGTGGTGTTTTGGAGAAACTCCCAAATTTCGAGGTAATTCGGGGGCTTTTGTGCCACTTCCCCGAAATTTACTATAGCTGCTTATCCAAAATGTGCTAAATTTTCCCGAAAATTGGGAGCTTGGGTAAGGTTGTTTTATATAAATAAACGTATATATATAGTTGATTGCGGGCGCCAGTATACGTGCCCACAAAACTACAGTAAGACGCAGACTTAAGTTAACCATTGGTTGCTCAATGGTTCTCAATGATATCATTCCTAAGTGATATCATTCACAGTACAGATGATGTCGCTCAAACTCTGGCATATTTATCGTGTAAGTGTTGATTGTAAACCTTGAACCCATTTTAATACATTTGGAATTGGTTCCATACCTTTTACAGTCGAATAACAGTGCCTGGTCTTCTGATTCTGAGGAAACTTTGTGCAAGCAACATTAAAAATCCGGAAAATGCGACAGGAACCTCTAAATTTTCCTTAGCCTGGGGTTTTCTCTCAAGTCTAAAGGTATTTCGGGGAAATCTCCAGAGCTAGAGAAATTTAGGGTTTTCCTCAATACTAGAAGGATGTTTCTAACTTTCAGTTCGTCCTTTCTCGGTACTTAGTCTCTGCTCATAATTCACGACACTCAAGACTTCATGTTCCAAAATGCCCGCTACTAAAATCACCGCTCATGATAATTTCGACATCTACATACTGTTGGATTACAGGTTCTCGTACGACTTTATCACTCTTAATGCTAACTAGAATTAATACCTAAGACTAGTTTTTGCGTCGTGTTGGAATGAAGTTCAAAAAGTAGTGCATAACAAGACAGCTGAAGAAATTCGGCACAGTTGGTTGTGCAACCTATCCATCTTTATTTATTAGTAATAATCTATTTTGTGGTCCATTCTTCTTTTATTTTATTTGAACACATAGATAATGGTACAATGAGGCATCAACTACGTATGCGCCACACAAATCTTATTCGATATGTATGAGGGCTGTGATATTGCCCGGGTGCCCAAACCGAAGCAGGTGGTTTTCTTAGGGGGCCACTCCCCGAGCCTTCGACCTAAAGGTCTGATCCACAAGGCAGTAGAGCATCGTAAGGAGATACAGTCGCATGGAAGCCGGTGACCAACGACTGGTTCATCCGCCATTTGTTCCCGCAGGATACTGGAGCCCATGTGCACCATTAGCTTGGAATCCAGTTATGCGCCGGACATTCGCTTTTCGTCCTTTCATTTTTGTAAACAACACCCCGGCCACGAGAAAGTAGTGAGTAGGACTTCCCTGGCAGAGGCTGTATACGCGTGGCCATGTGAGAGCGTCTCGAGAGGGAGAGCGGACTCTCCCCGCTCTAGGCCGTACCAGGGCATTTGGGGGCTCCTCGCTACACTGACAGCTTTGTAATACAAACAACATAATTTCAAAAGGAGATTTGTAGTTCGGGCGGATAATTTTGGTTTACTATGCCAAAAAAGTAACCACTTAAATGTGCTTATCATGCGGTTTTTAACTAGTCGATTTGAACTTATGTGCGATCCTCTACTTTTTTTCCTATTCTTTGTAGGTTACAGTCTATTATTCTATATTGCAAATCCCATTCTCAGTAATAATCTCATTCTTCAACTGCTTGAACAATTCTGGCTTATCCATTTGGGGGCTCAGTTCCCGGTTCAATGCAGCATGACTCTACAGACTACATTAAAGCATTTAAATAAACTTCATCGATAGATCAGACAAGATGTTACGTATTTTCTCGCGATTTGGATCTGATAAATGTACTCGCTTTCTCTACACGTCTTGTTATGTTAATACACCTAAAATTCAACCAAGCAAATCCTCACAGTTACTGAAGTCATATTTTGAACTTGGACGATTCGCTAGACCAACAGGCACGTGGCTGTTATACCTTCCTTGCACGTGGAGCATTGCTCTAGCTGCACCACCGGGTCACTTACCCGACATTTATATGCTAACCCTATTTGGCGTTGGCTCCATTTTGATGCGAAGTGCCGGTTGTACAATAAATGATATGTGGGATAAAAAATACGACATGCTTGTCAAGCGCACAAAGGATCGTCCACTAGCTTCGGGTTCACTAACCTTTCCCCAGGCTTTATTGTTTCTTGGTGCTCAGCTAGCGACTTCGCTTGTAATATTATTGCAATTGAACTGGTACAGGTTGGTTTGAATTGCTTTTTAGTTATTTCCTGAAGTGTATTTCTTGGTATCCTGTCATTGGTTCCTGTCATCACGTATCCTCTGTTTAAACGTATTACTTACTGGCCGCAGCTTGTACTTGGTAAGAATCAGTGTAGAATTTTCTAACCTTGGTTTATTGCAATGTGGTGTTACAGGCTTAACATTGAACTGGGGTGTTTGGCTTGGGTATTCTGCTATAAATGGTTTTTGCCTTTTCTCCGTGTGCACTCCTTTGTATTTAGCTGCAGTGTGTTGGACATGCACGTACGATACCATATATTCTCATCAAGTGAGGATGTTTTGCATTTGTCTTCAATCTTTTTCGCGCTAATAGTTTCTGCATTTTAAGAGTATTCATATGTCGACTCATAGTTTTTCGATTCTGCATACTTAGTTTTGTGTTTTGACTTGTCGCCCAGTAAACCAGCAGCACCTTTTTGTTTTTATTCTGAAATTTAAAGATTAGGTTTGTTTGTTCTGTATAGGTCTTACATTCAACTGGGGTGCTTTGCTGGGTTATTCTGCTGTCACAGGTTCTGTTGACCCTCTGATTTCAATTCCTCTCTATTTTGGTGGCTTCAATTGGACAATTATATACGACACAATCTATGCACATCAGGTTTGTGCTCATAGCTTGCTTTAAAGTTTGCTATTTTATGCTGAATCTGTAACGAGGGTTTCTATTTTAGGATATCGATGATGACATACGTATAGGCGTAAAATCAACTGCAATTTTGTTTGGAGAAAAAACGAAATTATATTTGGGCGCTTTTCACATGGGAATGACAGCGTGTCTCCTCACTGTTGGAATTAACGCAAATGCTGGTTGTCTATATTACCTTGGGACCTTCCTTACAATGTTTCATATTGCTCATTTAGTAAGTTGCTGTTTTCACCTCCATATTTAAATTTCCCTTAATATTTAATGGTAGTGTGTAGTATAGAAGACCGGATACTTGGTCCACATCACATAAATCAGTGGTTTCAACTCACTGATCATTCCTAACATTCACAGTCCATGTAACGTTTCTCTATGCATCTAGTACACTATTGTGTGCTTGGATGATACGATTTTTGTCAATCTGTGGCTTATTAGCTTAAATATCTGATATCGAATTATTAAATGACAGGTTCAAACACTTTTTTCCGTGTCAACTTAGACACTAAGCTAGTATCATTTCCCTTCGAACCCTGCTACTGATTTTTGATTAAAACTGGTTTCATTATCGGTTTTTACTTGGAACTGTCATTCAGCCAGTTAAACAGCTGTAAAGTATTCTGAAGTAAATACTTTTTGAAGCCTACCTAATACACTCCCATGTTTGTCAGACGCTTAAGTGTAGTTCATCACTCGAACTAGTTTATTGAACGTGCTGACTTATTCCAACTCAAATAAAGCCAGAACAAATATTGATGCTGAATAGTATGTATTCATAATATTTCGAGGTTTCTCGTCAGCTGCTTACAACCAAATATGTAATAGAATTGTACATTGAGATAAGAAATAGTGTGAAACAATTGACATAAATGAATGTAAATAACTGGAATGACAAAGGTTTACAATAATAACTATATATATATATATATATATATATATATATATATATATATATATATATATGCAAGAACAGGTCAGATGCTAATTGGTGTTAGAAATAAGGAAATAATTCAGGATGGGTGGTGTAATAGTTTAGTGGAGTTCATAAATTGTGTGGTAATTTTAGAGGTAATGAAGGATTCATGGAATTAAAACAGTGATAAGATAGGTTACTTAATAATTAAATAGAATTTGAAAAGTTAACATAATTTAAGAGGATCAGTTGGCGGAAATGTGTGAATGAAAAGTTGGTTTTAGAATTAGGTAATGAGGGAGGAATATAACACAAAATAAATATTTTAAAATAAATAAATGAATAAAATAACCAAAATTGGATTACCAGGGTAATAATAAGTTTATTAACGTCTCTTTTAGAAGTTTTTTTATATCGCGATTGCTTCAGCGAAACGGAGAGCAGTCACACTTTTTTGTCTGTTGGTAATTTTGAAAGCATGTGGGATGTCGATACTATAAACGGTGTCAAGTAAATGCCGGGTTATTGCACTGTTGAGAGCCTTGGTCCCTCGCAACCTCAAGTTCTTCGGAACATGCTCAGAAATGCGAACATGCACTCTTCTCTCAGTTCTTCCAATGTATGTGCTGTGGCACGTACATGTGAATTGGTAAATGTAGTTGGAGTTACTGAGAAAAGAGGACTTGTTTAGTTTGTTTGAGTCAGCAGTTCGTTTCCCATACTTTCGTCAGTTTTGCTGCTGGGTAGGCTACTTTCAACGCGGAATTTAATCTGTGATTAATTAATTTAGTAATTTCGTCTCCTTTGAAACGTAAATATGAGAAGCAAGTTTTTTCTACTCTATCATACTTTGCCCGAGGAGTGGTTTTTGCATATTTATGGATGAATTTCATCGGATATGCATTTTCCCATAAACAATTAGTGATGAGAGCAATCTCGTCATCCAGACATTCCTTTGAAAAAATTTTACGTGCGCGGTCAAAAAGTGTTCGTACAATACCCGTTTTGTAACTCATTGGACAGAAACTATAGTAATTGAAATATAATCCACTCCAAGTATTTTTGTGATGAATGTGTCTATGTAATATGCCGTCAGATGTTTGTCTGGTTCGAATATCTACGAAATGGAATTTGCCTTCAACTTCCTGTTCCATAGTAAATTCTATAACCTTGTGTGCTTTACTAAACAGATCGAGTAGTCTAATGGCGTGCTTGTGATTTTGCAGACGAAAAATGTATCATAAATATATCTACAGTAGAGTATAGTACCATCGATTGCGTGCCTAAGCCTTTTTTTGTTCCAGGTTTCCCATAAATATGTCGGCCAGAATTGGGCCCAAAGGGCTACCTATAGCTACTCCATCAATTTGGCGGTAAAAGACATTATTGAATTGGAATTGTATGTTCTTAGTACACAAAAACAGGAGCTCAACATTTAGTTATCTGTTCCTATCCAAATATTCCGGTCTAGCTTATTATTTTCCGTCGCGTTTTTTATAGTTTAAAAGGTCAGACCTAACCATAAGATATGGAGGGGTTCGATCATAATTGAGTTGATCCCTTGTTCTGTCAAGAGTATGATGGCGGTTTCCATTTCCCGATTCCCCATATCGTGAAAAAATAATTCTTACCGAAGTAACTGGATTAGTGGAAGTCTTATCGACCTGGGAGCGTGACTGTAGAGCACAAGGGACAACTGCTTGAGGTCAATCGCGTAGCATTTTTGTGTTTCCATGCTAGCTCAGTTCTTGAAAGGGTCCTGTTGCTAAAGATGGAAATCTATTGGGTAAATTGAGGTGTGATACTGAGGATCGACCTTTTCTGACCCCTTTTCGTCGTGATAAGGTACCATCACCGTGGTTGCCGGTTACTTGAGGAAAGTAATTTACTTCTGTCACACCCCTGTGCAATCAGCAGTATGACTTCGCCCTCGGATCTTGATTCGCTGCTTTTAGTCTTACCATTATCCAATTGATCTTCTTGGAATGATAGGACATAGAGGAGCAAATGTTCCGACCAATATGGCTCGATTGGATTAATAAAATGTCCAAGTTTGACTATCACATAAGGTTAATTTATCAAGTACCGGTTGTGTACTGATCTTCGAGCTATATTGTAATATATACGGACCAATGACGTCACCCAGATACCTAAGTAAGAGGTGACAAAACGGAGAACAGAACGCGTGATCTTTCTTTTATATATTACCATCATCGAATTAACTGCTTCTCTGTTTTGGTGTTCATCTTGTAGTGCTAATGAGGTATGGCAGCTTGAACCGATGCATATATGTGCTTGGTTCTGCGTTGTAGCTGACTGACGGACCTGTGATGTAATCATTAAAATACAAATTCAATGGATCATATATCGAATTCTACTGGTAGAAATTAGAGATGAATCGTTATTGTTTTCAAATCCCTAATCTTTTCGGTCAAATGTCCCTCATATTCCAAACTCAAGATAGTTTCTAATCGAAGTGAGGAATTGATCTAATAATAGCCATAAACATCCGAATGATGTTATATGTAGGTTGTAATGTGATGTTTTGTTACTCATTTGTTCTACCATCGCAAATGGACAGTCAGTCATTTATAAGTTATACGCAACTTTGGACCTGGCATATATATGCATCTTTTCAAGTTGACACACCCCATTAGCACTACGGGATGGTAGTAGTATTAGTGGTGATAGAAATGTTGAGGATAAAATGTGATCTGAAAAGAAAATATGGATTGGTGGAATAAAAAAAAACCTAGGACCCAAGGTAAAACAAATTGTTTGGGCCTGTGCCATTGTCAGAGATTCTAATCAATGTTACTCATGGTCTCTAGCAACTAGTTATGATGCTTTTATAGATCCCACCCAGGAAGTCCGCAGCTACCTGTACGCTCCTGTTCAACAGTCAGTGTCTTCATCGACTAATTCCACGCCCTGGTTTGTTCTCATAATGTTCTTATAACCTTCTACCACACCAGCCATCATCGTATGTCAAGGTGGGCAATGGAAGACTTCGTTGCAAGTCAAGAAATTCTTCATAACTGATTACTTTGGAACCTGGAGATATCTTATTCTCACCAAATATCTGATATATTAGTATATTAAAAAATGCCATAATATTATCCGATTTCAATTCGTATCATTGAACCACTAAATCATTGATGTAGTTACGCCGTTAAAGTTCCCAACCGTTGTTTTGTAATGAAGTGCAGTTATGTTGCTATATCAAACCAGTCTTTCTTTATCCGAATACCGATTCTAGTGGTCATTTTTCTTCCATTTACGACATGTATTCTATGTCAGATGAATATTTTCGTACTATGTTTACTTCTGCGTATGTATTTCATCTATAACTAAGTATTTATTGGATTACAGTCTACTGGGATGTCCCTACAAATGTCAGGACATTATACAGTCAATAAAAGGCTTCCGTAAACCTTTTCACAGCTGCTCTTGGTTCTTTCCTGAGTTTTCCTCTTGTGGAAGTATAAAAACTCAACAGCTGTTTTTCTGAGTATAGATAAATCTGAAGCATGTTTGAATCCTTAATAAATAATTCACTAAAATTTAAGAATCTACAATAATAGTTTTTAATTTTCTTACTGCTCAGTGGTTGTATTCCCTGAGTAAAGACATACAAACATTTTAATCTAGTTCACTATCTATTGTGTTATTTCTATGATATGCAAGTTAAGATACTTCTTTTCCATTTTTACAGAGTAGATGTTGTAGTCACAAATTCTTTTAAAACAAATAAAAACTCAACTGTTAAATCTTATTACAGAATCAATAACAGTCAAATATATATTACTTACTCCCCTCGCAATGCTGTTAATTTCATGAGAAAAAAGTGTTCTGAGATATCATGGCGTTTATCGTTAAAAGGCGCTCATCAACTAAAAGCGCCCAAGCTTCATATTTCGGGCTTCTCTCATCCCTCCAAACGAGTAGTCACATACCCTTCTGTTGTGTCGTTTTTGCACCATTATATATATGATGGGATTACAAAGGTTTATATGACGATTAATTAATATGTAACCTTCCATAATTTAAATCAAGGGAGCATGGTGCTGATTTTCTTATTAGTTCATAATCATTATCTGCTTGGTTAGAAATCGGTATAATTTCAAGCTGCACACTTAGCTCATACTCAAGTTACTTTAACAGAAAAACAATGAACATTTGAAGTTGGTTTACCTAATTGTCTGTTTAGCCTTGCATTTTTCGGCTGCTTTTCAAACGAGGAGTAGCATTGAGGCTTTCTCCTAGTGTCTATCTGGTTATCCAGTATGCGATTATACAAATAATATCTAAGTGTAACAAAACCATGTTTCTATACCTAGTAGAGTAATTTTTAAACCACTACTTAACCATTTTAACTTTTGGAAATTGAAAACTGACACTTCGCACTTATTAGCGGTTTTTTTCAACTTTCAATACAGTTTTCGGTATAGTCCTTAATCTACATTCGAAAATTGACCTAATACTTCACTATCTAAGTAGTTTCATTAGGTGATTTATCTGGTTACAGTTATTGATATATTTTATTTGTGTGTTTTACTTAAATTACAAATTGTGATTTTCAGATAAGGAAGACGGACCTAAAGAATCCCAATTCTTGTTGGCAGACCTTTAAAGATAGTAAAAAAACTGGTCTTTTGTATTTTCTTACCATTGTACTGGACAAAATATCACTATAATTTTATTGTTCTTCTAAATAATAAAATTAACCTTTTGTAAATATTTCAGGGTTTTCAGCTGGCTGTTATACATTAGTTTCAATTCTCAATAAAATCTATTACTTTTAAAATTACTTATATAATTAAACTAATTATCTGACATAGACGTATGATATTTATGATAATTGTGTCTACTTTCTCTACAAAGAATTCTTTTAAACGGGAATAAGTTTTAACAGAGTGTTTATTGTAAATTTTGATACACCGTCAACTGGCAAATGTATTGTTACAAATAGTTTAAAATATAACTGTCAAGCTCTCCAAACGAGAAATCATACCGTTCTAATCCAAGCAAAAAGCTACTCAATACAAATTATTCCAATCGATTTCACTTATTCTATGTTAGTCAGTTATGAAATAGAATGAACAATTATAAATGCAGTCTTTTTAAGTTAATCATAATTCTTGGTTATACAAACAAAATAATTAAGAAATAAACGTTTTATGCTAAACAGATGTTTTGTGTGACACGAAACAAAGTTTCGAGCTTAACCACCAGCAAGATTACATGAACAACAAACTAAACATGATTCATCCTTCTGTCTTATCTTCCAAACGTACTTAAATATTTACGAAGGGTTTGTCTTATCGCGACTTATTGTCTAGTCAGTTAAATTATATGATTGGAAACTTAATATGGCTTGAGTGCAGAATCAAACAATCATCTGTTTACATCGTTTTGGAGAGCGATTCGGTGTAACCAAAAGTCCTATACATAATTCTGTATTTGGTGAGTGTCATTTAAAAACATAAATAAAACCTAGCGAAAGCATAAGACAGGTTTTTTTTTCACGTTTTACTGGACGATAGCCTCCGTCCATCATAAGTGGCAAACTGGTAGCCTTGAAAAATTTCGCACAGTTGTGTGAACTGGTACACATTTACACTACACCACTTTAAATTACTAATCAATAATCTCAAATAAGATTAATAGTCCTTGGGTGTTAGTAAAGAATCTGATCAACGCACAGCTCATATTGGGAACTTTATTGAAAGTTTGTATTAGTCGAAAGGTACCATTTCAGTTATTAGTTTCACAAAAATGATCAGAAGACGGAATACTACAATATGACGCCGTTAATAAACAGTGACGTTTAACTATAAATTAACGGTTTGACAAATGAAATGTTAAGCAACCATGGGATTCTGCTACTAGGGTCATTGTAGTAATGCCTTTATTAATTTTGTCCAAAATAGCAGTTGGTGGGCTCTACGATTTGACCACTTATTTGGAAAGCTCATCTTTAGAATTCCATGTCTTCGAATTTAAGTGACAAAAAGGCTGAAATACAAACACTGGATGTAATAATATTACTAGGAAAAACTACAACACACGTTATCGCGATGCTTTTCATTTGTACGCTAAACAATCTACTATACGTTAGCAGCCAATTATTTTTAAATGACTAATAAGTTTGAAATTAAGATTATTTGAAGTTACTAACGGCAGATATGCTACATATTCAATTACAAATCACTTATAGTTCAGAGAACATTTGACTCGAAACTTTATTTGGTTTTACAACAATCTAGTTACCTACTGACACTTCTATGTTAAAACTGAATTCAGCAGTCTATAGTATTTCTAAATTTCTTAACTGATATGACGAAGAATTAAGTTTAACGGTCAAGCATTAATTAGTGTCCTGCAAAACTGATTTGCTTTGATCGTTTATTATTATCGTAATCATCCGTATGGAAGAATGTATTATTTAACAAAAGATCTGTTATTGTGACCTTATCGCCTTGTCTATAATATCAGTTCATTTGGGTCAGTAATCCGGTCACTCACTTGAATATTAACAATACATTTGAAACCTCGATGTATAATCTTAGTAGTTTGGAACACTAACGACACCAGAGGGATATGTCTGAACATTACATTTCGTAAGATTCTAGACTTTATAATCACTCGAGGTATATTTGTAGCACCTTAAAAACGACATAGTAGACTTCAGGATTGACCATGCACGTGTCAGTTGGACTTTTTCCATCAGGGCTTAGCTGGATCAGTGGATCCTCATAACTCTCCGACAATATATGTCAGTGTTGGTCAGTAGCACAAAGGAACTGTCCTAGTAGACTCATTAGAGTAAAAGTGATCAAATCCGAGACCATAAGAAACCAGCATTTGAATCCCCTGCAGACGTTGTCTAACGACACGAGCTTCGAAATTAAAAGTCACTCGTTTGGTTTGTTCATCTTTTACAAATTAAGGGTCGATTTTCCAACCTGATATGAAGCATCAACGTTTATAAGTGTTGATCATTACACATAATCAAAACTTCAGAAAAAGAAGAGTGAAGATTAATTCACCTGAAACTTTTCGTACTAATTATAAGGCAAATCAATGATATACTGAATAAGGCATTTAATAAATTAATTTAAAAAAATACTAGATGATAAACAGCAGACATTTATTTGTACACTTAATTGAATGCTTATATGTACAGTTTTAACGTAGATTAACAATTTATTTGCCCAACTGTACATAAGTTTCCAAGTCAGGAACGGCTGCCATAGTTTGTTCTACATGACCTATACACTCCAAACAAATGACCTCAGGATTATCCTGATTCACAAGTACAACATCCTGTTGGTGAGAAAAATAGAAAACAGTGAAAACGAACATGCTACCATGTAAGCAACTGAGATACTTTGCATGGGTCAATTTTATGACGTACAACAGAGATGACATTTATTATCAAAATTTGATATAGAGGTTCAGTCGAAATATTTATGTTTAAAAAATGATCAAACAAATACATATTTTGACAATAAGTTAGTTCTTCACCTTGAGTGAATAAACTTGAGATCTATAAGCTTCACTAGATTAACTTTCTGATACAAACATTAGAGATTTGATGAATGGACACACGTTCTACACTGAAAATATAGAAGTACTCAAGACTAGTTAGCGCTGCGATTTATCCGCTTTTGGATAACAATTTGTGAACCATATTAGTTGTTTTATAAAACAACTGTCACGTAGATAGGAAGCCAACAAAAACGGAAGAAACTAAAATAAATTGACTTCCCAAATAATAAACAAATTCGTTGTACGTAAGTGTGAGATTCAGGTTTCATTCCACTCAATATTAAGGCATATTGCCCAACGACTGAAAATTTCAAATTCAACACTAATGTTGGAGCAGTGAGTACTTCAATGATTTAATTATCTCTATAAAACTTATGTTTATTAAACTACTTTTGCAACTTATAGTGTTCATTTAGCGCCTCAGTACGAGATAATCCTTTGCAGTTTCTGGTGTTATTTTATAGTTATCAAGCAGACATATTAACTGGTTACACCTGCTTTATTTCGAAATAGATGTGATTTAACAATGTACGGTCGGTTCTCTTTGAAATACCATTGATAGAGAGATTGAAGATGGTATCACGAAAGTAATCCGCAGATTTGGAATAAAGCCTACATGACAATAAAATAAACAGAATTAGTGACATAGTGAGCCATTCAGATATCGGCTAAACGATAAGCTCACGGCGACTGACCGAGCTATGAATTTCTTTTCTAAGGAATGAAACAAACTACCGGCGGGAAAACATGTCTTAAATTACTAAGGGGTAAATATATGTAATTAAACGGATTAGTTATTTCGACTGATTTATATATTTAGTTGAACATATAAACATTGGTACAAAGGGACACCAAATACATATGCGCCACACAATGACAATGAGAATGTGAATAGATGGAGAATGTAAAGTGCCTATAAGAAAAAGGAGGACAACAACGAACAAAAATTAGTGTATGAGAGTGAAATAATAATAATGCGAGGCAGTCCAGTTAGCAAAATAAAACCAGGAAAAGTCCTTTCGATTAGAGAAATTACTAGCACTTCTATGTAGAAAGCAAAGTTACAACAGGATAGCCAGTGGCTTCTATCTCTGGGACGACATTCGTAGGACATGTCCAAGCAACCGAAGTCGATGCTTCGAAACAGTGACACCAAATGGATTATCGTCTCCGCGTCCGAACAGACAATGACAAACCTCTGCATTGCTAACATGGTGTTGCCGCTGGATGTCAACAATCCTTCGGCGACAACGATGGTCGAACACAAAGAATCGCCTACCATCCTGAACTCGGAGAGGTCAGGTTTCACAATCATAGAGTAGAACTGCTCTCACTGACGCGTTGTAGGTCCGATCTGTTACAGCCAGACTAACATCACGAAGGCGCCAAAGATGACCCAGATTGGCATAAGCCACTCTGGCTTTCACTATACGTGAATCGATCTCATCACTCATGCCACCACCGGCATTTATGCAGCTACATAGATACACAAACTACTCGACTACTTCTATCTGCTCACCACCCAGGGTGAGTACAGGATTAGAATCCTGCCAGTCTTGTAGAAGTAGTTTGCACTTCGAAGGTGCAGAGCCCACACCGTACCTGCGGACACTAATTTGCCAACTGGCTAAGTGAGGATTGAATGGCTTGGGCATTATCTCACCATAAGACAATGTCATCCGCATACTCAAAGTCGAGAAGTCTCTACAGGTAACAGATCTACACCACCATCACCTACATTCATCAGAACCATTTCCTGAACGTCATCGATAGCAAAGTTGAGGAGGAATAGTGAGATTGGGCAATCCTGTCTAACCCCACTGCTGAATGGAACAATGGAGAGAGGTGGTTGTATGCCCTCATTTTGCCTGAGGTGTCTGTATATAGGGCTTTTAGGATGTTAATAAACTTCTCAGGCACACCCTTCCTCAATAGACAACCCCAGAGAATAGTCCTGTCCAACGAATCGAAGACAGCCCTGATGTCAATCAGCACTACGATTGTTGGCCTGTGATAAGTATGACGGTGTTCTAACATTTGTTGGACGATGATTTGATAATAATCAATACATCCTCGACCAAAACGAAAACCAGCCTGCTCCTCGTGAATCAATTTCCTCGGGTTTTGAACAATCTGCGAAGTATGACGGAAGCCAATAGTTTGGACGCAATGGGAAGTACACTCATCCACCGATAGATGTTACAGAAACGACATGAACCCATGTTAGATATAGGGACAACTAACGACTCATTCCATGATGTTGGAACACTGTCTAGTTCTCAAACCTTTGTGAACAACTTAACCAGAAAATCGCCGCCATCTTTAAAAAGAGACAGAGGTAAGTCATCTGGGTTTGGTGATTTGTGTCACTTCAAGAGTTGGAGTTCCTTGTGTTATTCCGCCTCATTTGGTGGATCAGTCGTCACCAGCCATGGAGGGTAGGACAGTCTGATCGATGTTACCGGAGCAGCAGGCCAGTTGAACTGCCCTTGGAAGAACTCTGCCCATCGTCCAAGACATCGATAGATGTTAATGATTGGCATCCCATCAGCCTCACAGATCGCTTTACGCACACTAGACTTCTTGCTCCCAGTGACTCAGATGAGTTGAAGGAGCTTCCGGCAGTATTAGATGCAGTTGTTACTTTCGACTCATTGGCACACTCCCACCGCCAGGCTTCTCGGTCCTTACGCAATTCTTCATTTATAGTCAAACTCGCGGCCACCCGGAGTTGACCGA